TGGTGATAACATGGTGCAGACTCCAGCACTTTGACCTGAAATTCTTCACTTTATCTTATGCAGTATATTGTGACCCCTTGATGACAGCTGATTGAAGTGGAGATTTCAGACCGTCGGCTGTCCGACGAAGGCAAGGCGCATGTGACAACCGTACGTAATAAGTATATTGATGCTCTCTATCTGCATGTGCAAAATGAGCATCCATCCTACACAGCCTTGGAGGTCGCCCAACGTATATCAAAATTGCTGTTATTGCTGCCGAGCATCGAGGTAAATTCAGTTTTTATGGCAGTCTTTTCTAATGATGCGGTGTGGATAGCTATCACATCGTATTTTAGCACCTGTCACAACAGGAGGACGATAATGTGCAGTTTCTGGCTCTGTTCAACCTTGCGAATCTCAATGGTTTACCTTACGAGTTGCATTCATCAACGAAACAACAGATTCGAGAAGACCCCACTCAGGTAGGTAGCTGACCGAAATACTATGATATATACCATAAAAATTTCGAACGCACAGTTTGAGCGTTGTTTCAAAACTGAGTATAGTTTTCCAGGTGAACGAGGTGACGTCTAACAATGTGGAAATGAAAGGTTACGATACTGAAGCAGCTCCTCCCACCACAGTGTCATTTGGATGCACTTCGTTTGCCAATAGTCTTCTGTGACTATCCCGATCATATGTCCGGCCAACTGATAAGCTGCCCATACTTTCATTTCCGCCTAGATCGTAGAATACCTCACGGCTACGTTGGTTCATATCATCATGTACCAGAACTAGGAACATATGTATGGGGTGAGACACCTCTCATGCGATAAGTACTAGCAAACTTCCAGCAAACTGATTGTATTTTTGCCAAGATGCTAAATTCATTTCTTTTGGCTCGGGAATACGTAACTCTGTTTCTTTTTATTGCATACAAAAAATAAGCTGGTGAGGAATTGCTGCTGAAGTTGATGCCTTATAAGGGCTATTGGAAGATCACCGATCGTATGAGAGTTGACTCCCCCCCCCCCCCCCCCCCCCCCCCCCC